GAGAGAGAAATACGGGAGAGGGAGGTAAGAGCGATTGAAAGCATAATCTACGTATTAGTTTGGAGAGAGGAAGCGAGAGAGGGAGAGCGAGAGAGGGCAAAATGCACGCACAAGAATTGAGGTACTAGTTAATGCATTATAATCTTAAACAGTACCTCCCTGACGATGAAAAGCGACGTGGACACAAGAATCTTCTTTGTGTGTCGCCCAACAACCCACAGTGACAAGAAATTACCCGAATAAGAACACAATGGATACAATCACGTTAGAATTTCTATAAGCTCTTCCACTTATACGACAATTAACTTCGCTCTAGTCCATCTGCTAACACTGCTACCGAGCGTGTTTGCGTGCTGAGCGTACGAGGCAATATCTGGAACATAGATTTACGGATATGATTCTTACGGGCTGTGTCTATTCAGTTTCAATCTTGTCAGCCGCAAAATCTCACTGAAATATGGTGATAAAAAATCTCGCATGAAAATATCTTGCAGGAACACAATCACGTGCAATACGCATTCGATTTTCTTTATAATTGTCGTCATCTTCATTCATCATCATAATCAAAGACAACATCGTCGTCTTTATCACCATTATAATCTACCTCAGCAACACCATCACGTAAGACGTAAGAATTCAGAAGGAAATTGGTTATTTTTGAGGGGACAAAGGATCCATGGTTCGTCCGTTCCGTGTAGGCGTGCCAGTGGAATTTATCATCACATACAAAACATACACCCAAGAATCTCTCGAAAAAGCTTTTCAATGCGGACAAAAGCCACCCGTTATTGGCGAAAAATGCATTTGAAAAACACATCTTCTAGAAAAGTATGCCGATGGCGATCGTAAATTCTTTCTCGACTCAAAATGGCGGCGGTCGCCAGGGCAACAATGGGCGCTAGCGTCATATTTGGCGTGAGCGTGACCGGACGCCTCCACCCTATGACGTCGGCAGGCGTCAGCGGTCAGTTCCTGGAACTAGCGGCAGCGTCGTCGTCAGCCACACAGAGCGCCCTCTGTTCCTGCCGACATTCCTGGGCAAGCACGTGCGATCCTGCGACGACAGGTCGGCCATCGCCAACGTCGCCGCAGTCAGGATTCTCGACCGAACAATCTCGCCTTTGACTTTCGCACAATGCTAGTGTCCGCGCCGATGCGAGCTGGCCGCGAACGTGGGTGTTACGACAAACACGCGCGCAATTTCGACGTCAAAACAGTTCTTGTATTGGAATTGACTCGACGCGGCCGGTTATGTGTGCTGCTCTGGTAGATGTTTGGAGAAGAGATGAGACCAACGTGAGAAGATCTATGGCGATTCCATACACGGGTAATGACGCCACCTACGCGAAATCCTGTGTGACATCTGTCGGATGAATAGGACATGCGTTAAATCCAAATAACATACCAAGTAACGAATATACTCAGCTCCATGCCGCCTACTGCTCTGTCTCTTGTGCCCTACGTCTATCTCGTCACGCTCTCTCTTTATTATGATCACACATACCCTCTCTCGCTCATACTTTTGTGCTATCTATTGCTCTCGCATGATCCTTATTATTATTCGATCCGTACGGCCTGTATTATTTTTCCCGCGCATGCTTTTTCTATTTAATTTCTTTCCTGTTCACCTTTCCTCTGTGTGATTATCCTACTGTTCATGTCTTGCTCACTTTCATATATTATATATATTCACGTTCATATGTTATCTCACTCTCTTTACTGCTCTCTCCCCCCCTCTCTCTCTCTCTCTCTCGCTCACACACACACACACGCACGCACGCACGCACGCACGCACGCACACACACCACACACACACACTCTGTCTGTCCCTGTCGCTCTTGCTCTTTATCTCTTTCCCCTTTTTCAATTCTTTAGCTCTCCACCACGCTCTCCCTCTCTCCAT